TTTTTTTTTTTGGCACACACATGTATTACTTCATTAACAAAACATTCACTCATTATTCATGTACATGAATACATTTATTAGTATATTTTTTATTTATTAAAATTATAATGATAATATCAAATTTAAACTTAAAACTTTATATATATTACTTTATACATATTCACCTCATTATTAACTTATCAATAATATTATTATAAGTTATTTTTACATGAAATATGAGTAGTATCATTAAATATAACTATCATTTAAATTATTTAATTTTTTTAGTTACATTTGAAGTAAAATTTAAATTTATGATTTGTTTATTAAGATCAACTAACTTAATTACTTTTACAAGTCTTGTTAAATTAGTTAATAGAAATAGAAATAGACTTGGTAATATAAAAGTGAGACATATTGTAAGTGCATTTAAGAAATTTTGGCGACTTTCACAATTAGAGAAAATGTTTTTACTAAAATAATATAATATTGGAAGAAATATAAAAAAAAATTCAAATATAAAATTATGCAGCTTGATTGAATTTCTATATTGATCATCCTTACACCAGTATATATTATTATTATTAATGACGGATTTATATTATAGCAAAAATAAATAGATGCGGTCCTCACTTTAATTAAATCATTAATATATCTTTAAAATATTTTGTATTTTATACCCTTAATTATATATTAAATTTATTTATATTTATATATATTTTAATTTTTTACATATATAATAATAATTATGAATTTTTTTTAAATATTGTTTTTACTAATCTAGGTCTTGAATCCACCTATCGATATATATATAATTTCTCATTTATATAAAAATTGTATGTATACTTCACATGGACATAGCATTAACGGACATAAACGTATATAAAATAATGGCATGTAAATTAGTAAATTGATATAATCTATACTAATAACGAAATATCTTTTTTTTTTTGATAATTATTTTGGTCTCTATTTTTTTTTATTATTATATTTTTTTATTTTAAAAAAATTTAAAAAATATTTTTTAATTAAATTTAAAAATTTGAAATTAATGAATTTATACTAATATTAATATATAAAGAGATATTATTTTCAATAATTATTTTTAGTTTTTATTTTTGCATGAACTATTTTATCTTTTATTTATCTTTTTAATAATTATTTTTTTTATGAGTAATTTGTCATTTTTTTTTCATTTTTATTTATTTATTTTTTAATACAATGTTGACATGGAATATGTTTTTCTTGGTAGTATATATAATCCGCAAGGCTTTGCAACCAGGGATGGCAATATGACGGGTCGGGTACGGGTTTCATGATACTCGTCTTCGTCCTCGCGAGTCAAACTCATTTCCGTTCCCGTACCCGTACCCGTCGGGTATATGATTTTCATCCTCATCCCCGTCTCCTTCGAGTATCGGGTATACCCGTACCTGTACTTGTACCTGTCAATTTTTTATTTTTTATTAAAAAAATATGATATTTTTAAATTATTTTTTTATTATATTATAATTATAATTAAATTATTTCTCTATTTCATATTATAATAAATAATTACA